GCATTCTCTGCATCTATTGAGATAATCATGTGGTTTTTGTCTTTGGTTCTGTTTATGTGATGGATTATGTTTACGGACTTGCATATGTTGAACCAGCCTTGTATCCGCAGGATGAAGCCTACTTAATTGTGATGAATAAGCTTTTTGATGTGCTGTTGCATTCAATTTGCCATTATTTTATTGTAGATTGTTTCGTCAATGTTCATCATGGATATTGGCCCGAAGTTTTCTTTTTCAGTCGAGTCTCTGCCTGGTTTTGGTATCAGGATGATGTTGGTCTAATAGAATGAGTTAGGGAGGATTCCCTCTTTTTGTATTGTTTGGTATAGTTTTAGAAGGAATGAAACCAGCTCCTCTTTGTATGTCTGGTAAAATTTGGCTGTGAACCCATCTGGATCTGGACTTTTTTTGGTTGGTAGGCTATTGATTGCTGCCTTGTTATTGGTCTATTTAGGGTTTCAACTTCAGTCCTTGTTATTAGTCCATTTAGGGTTTCAACTTCTTACTGATTTAGTCTTGGTAGAGTGCAAGTGTCCAGGAATTTATCCATTTATTCCAGGTTTACTGGTTTATGTGCATAGAGCTGTTTGTAGTAATCTTTGAAGGTAGTTTGTATTTCTGCCGAATCAGTGGCGATATCCCCTTTATCATTTTTGTTAAGTAAAGTTAAGCTAAGCTCTGTGAGGAGAAGAAGGCAAGATGATGACATTACTAGTCTTTCCAGATAATTCATTTGACCTAAACATTTTATTTATTTATTTATTTTTAATTGCATTTTAGGTTTTGGGGTACATGTGAAGAACATGTAAGATTGTTGCATAGGTACACATATGGCAGCGTGATTTGCTGCCTTCCTCCCATTCACCTATATCTGGCATTTCTCCCTATGCTGTCTCTACCTAACTCCCCACCCCCTGCTGTCCCTCCCCTATTTCCCCCCAACAGACCCCAGTGTGTGATGCTCCCCTCCCTGTGTCCATGTATTCTCATTGTTCAACACCCGCCTATTAGTGAGAACATTTGGTGTTTGATTTTCTGTTCTTCTGTCTGTTTGCTGAGAATGATGGTTTCCAGGTTCATCCATGTCCCTACAAAAGACACGAACTCATCGTTTTTGATGGCTGCATAATATTCCATGGTGTATATGTGCCACATTTTCCCTGTCCAGTCTATCATCGATGGGCATTTGGGTTGGTTCCAGGTCTTTGCTATCGTAAACAGTGCTGCAGTGAACATTCATGTGCATGTGTCCTTATAGTAGAACGATTTATAATCCTTTGCATATATACCCAATAATGGGATTGCTGGGTCAAATGGAATTTCTATTTCTAGGTCCTTAAGGAATCACCACACTGTCTTCCACAATGGGTAAACTAATTTACACTCCCACCAACAGTGTAAAAGTGTTCCTATTTCTCCACATCCTCTCCAGCATCTGTTGTCTCCAGACTTTTTAATGATCGCCATTCTAACTGGCGTGAGATGGTATCTCAATGTAGTTTTGATTTGCATTTCTCTGATGACCAGTGATGATGAGCATTTTTTCATATGTTTGTTGGCCTCATATATGTCTTCTTTTGAAAAGTGTCTGTTCATATCCTTCGCCCACTTTTGAATGGGCTTGTTTGGATTTTTGACACTCAGAAGCAAGTTGTTCAGTTTCCAAGTAGTTGTGTGGATTTGAGTGACTTTCTTAATCATGAGTTCTAATCTGATTGTGCTGTGGTATGATAGACTGTTTTTTATGATTTCCATTTCTTTGCATTTGCTGAGGAGTGATTTGCTTCCAATTATGTGGTCAATTTTAGAGTAAGTGTAATGTGGTGCTGAGAAGATGTATATTCTGTGGATTTGGGGTGGAGAGTTATGTATATGTCTATTAGGTCCGCTTGGTCCAGCTCTGCATTCAAGTCCTGGGTGTCCTTGTTAATTTTGTCCCGTTGATCTGTCTAATATTGACAGTGGAGTGTTGAAGTCTCCCACTGTTATTTTGTGGGAGTCTAAATCTCCTTTTAGGTCGTTAAGAACTTGCTTTATGTATCTGGGTGCTCCTGTGTTGTGTGTGTATATATTTAGGATCGTTAGCTCTTCTTGTTCGATTGATCCTTTTACCATTATGTAGTGCACTTCTTTGTCTCTTTGGATCTTTGTTGGTTTGAAGTCCATTTTATCAGAGACTGGCATTGCAACCCCTGCTTTTTTTTGTTCTCCATTTGCTTGGTAAATCTTCTTCCATCCCTTTATTTTGAGTCTATGTGTGTCTTTGTATGTGAGATGGATTTCCTGAATACAGCACACTGATGGGTCTTGACTTTTTAAACAGTTCGTCAGTGTGTGTCTTTATTGGGGCATTTAGGTCATTTACATTCAATGTTAATATTGTTATGTATGAATTTGATCCTGCCATTTTGTTACTGGCTGGTTTTCTTGCCCGTTAGTTGACTCAGTTTCTTCACTGCCTTTTTGGTCTTTGCCATTTGGTGTGCTTTTGCAGTGACTGGTACTTGTTCCTTTCCATTTTTAGTGTTTCTTTCAGGAGCTCTTGTAAGGCAGGTCTGGTGGCGACCAAATCTCTCAGTAATTGCTTGTCCTTAAAGGATTTTATTTCTCCTTTACTTATGAAGCTTAGTTCGGCTGGATATGAGATTCTGGGTAGAAAGTTCTTTTCTTTCTTCTTCTTTTTTTTTTTTTATTGTACTTTAGGTTTTGGCGTACATGTGCAGATCATGCAGGATTGTTGCATAGGTCACACATGGCTATGCGGTTTGCTGCCTCCATCCCCCGTCACCTACAGCTGGCATTTCTCCCCAAGTTATCCCTCCCTGACGTCCCCACCCCACTGCTGTCCCTCCCTTGGCCCCCCCACAACAGACCTCAGTGTGTGATGCTCCCCTCCCTGTGTCCATGTGTTGTCATTGTTCAACACCCACCTTATGAGTGAGAACATGTGGTGTTTGATTTTCTGTACTTGAATCAGTTTGCTGAGAATTATGGTTTCCAGCTTCATCCATGTCCGTACAAAGGACACGAACTCATCATTTTTTATGGCTGCATAGTATTCCATGGTGTATATGTGCCACATTTTCCCTGTCCAGTCTATCATCAATGGGCATTTGGGTTGGTTTCAGGTCTTTGCTATTGTAAATAGTGCTGCTATGAACATACATGTGCATGTGCCTTTATAGTAGAATGATTTATAATCCTTTGGGTATATACCCAGTAATGGGATTGCTGGGTCAAATGGAATTTCTATTTCTAGGTCTTTGAGGAAGCGCCACACTGTCTGCCACAATGGTTGAACTAGTTTAAACTCCCACCAACAGTGTAAAAGTGTTCCTATTTCTCCACATTTTCTCCAGATTTTTTAATGATTGCCATTCTAACTGGTGTGAGGTGGTATCTCAATGTGATTTTTATTTGCATTTCTCTAATAATGAGTGATGATGAGCATTTTTTCTTATGTTTGTTGGCCTCATATATGTCTTCTTTAGAAAAGTGTCTATTCATATCCTTCGCCCACTTTTGGATGGGTCTGAAAGTTCTTTAAGGATGTTGAATATTGGTCCCTACTCTCTTCTGGCTTGTAGGGCTTCTGCTGAGAGATCCGCTGTGAGTCTGACTGGTTTCCCTCTGTGGGTGACCTGTCCTTTCTCTCTGGCTACCCTTAGCATTTTTTCCTTCATTTCAACGCTGGTGAATCTGATGATTATGTGCCTTGGGGTTGCTCTTCTTGAGGAATATTTTTGTGGAGTTCTTTGTATTTCTTGGATTTGAATGTTGGCCTGCCTTGCTAGGCTGGGGAAGTTCTCCTAGGTAATATTCTGGAGCACATTTTCCAGCTTAGATTCATTCTCCCCATCACATTCAGTACACTGATCAAGCGTAGATTAGGTCTTTGCACATAATCCCATATTTCTTGGAGGTTTTGTTCATTTCTTTTCATTCTTTTTTCTCTTGTCTTGCCTTCTCTTTTTATTTCATTGAGTTGATCTTCGATTTCTGATATCCCTTCTTCTGCTTCATTGATTCGGCTATGAAAACTTGTGTTTGCTTTCCGTAGTTCTCATGCTCTATTTTTCAACTCCATCAAGTCGTTTATGTTCTTCTCTAAGCTGGTTTTTCTAGTTAGCATTTCGTCTAACCTTTTTTCAAGGTTTTAGTTTCTTTGCATTGGGTTAGAATGTGTTCCTTTAGCTCAGAAAAGTTTGTTATTACCCACCTTCTGAAGCTTGTTTCTGTCAATTTATTGCATTCTTTCTTGGTTATGTTGTGTTCCTGTGTTGTTGAGGAGTTGTGATCCCTTCAAGGAGAAGAGGTGTTCTGGTCTTTGATGGTTTCATCTTTTTTTGTGCTGGTTTTTTCCCATCTTCATGGATTTACCTGGCTCTGATTTCAGGGAGCTGCTTGATGAGTCTGCCTATGGAGGTGCTACTGGGTTTCCAGGGTCTCTTTCAGGTTACTAGGTAGGCTTCCTGTGTCTTTTTTGTTGACACTGTGTGGTTAGGCCCACCTCTTCCACTGACCTGGAGGCACTGCTGCGTGGTCAAGAACACTGTCCTGTTAAGTAGGCTTCCTGTGTGTTTTGTTAAAACATGAAGCCTAGTCCCGCCTCTTTAATGGTGGGTTGTGCCTTTCCTCCACGGAGCTGGATCAGTCAGGGTTAAGCTCAGACTTAGGCACTGAGGCACTGGCTGCATAACCTGCTAGAGTTAGTGCTTCAGCCCTCTGGGGTTTGTAGGGGAGGGTAGGGACCTGCCTGACTACACTGTCTGTCTCCCTGCTTTCAGCTCCCTCTCTCTCTGGGCAGGGGGAGGGGGCGGTAGCTCCGTCCGCAGGTCTCCTGGTCGGCTTATGGGCTTATGCGTCTGTTTAGATCTGTGTGACAATCCGGGACACCGTCCTGGATCATTATTCAACTCTGCACTTGTAATTCCCGGTCCTTGACTGGCAGAGATCCCCTGTTCTGTGTATGGCTGAGGCTTTGGGGGGAGTACTGTATCTGGACCGGGGTGCCAGAGGAGAAGCCTCCAACTCACGGTCAGATGCACTTTCTGGGTGAAGCAGCACCCCTCCCTGTCTTGGTCTGCTCTGCCTGGGCATTGCTCACCATCTGACCAGATCCATTGAAATGCACCTGATACTTTGGTTGAAGCTAGGAGATCTCTCGATTTCTGCGTCTCTCTTGCTGGGTGTTCTTCACCGGAGTTGTGTCTATTCGGCCATCTTGTTCCCTCCTCCCAGAAGCTGTTAAAGAAAGACGCTATCTACTTACTTTTGGACCCAGTAGGTTTGTAGCTTTTCGATATGATAAATATTGTAGGATATAATTAAAATAAGTACTTATTTAGTTTGTAGAGTAATATTTTGGTATACTCATATGCTTTGTGTATTTTGGACACTTGGAAAAATGATTATCGTATTTAAGCTCCACGCATCAAGTTATTGAAAAGCTCAGAGTTTTCATCAAAGCAGAATGTAGGTAAGTTTTAGAAGTATTTTATTGTATAAAGTTGTAAAGACACAATTAGACAACTTAGGCCAGCAGATGGCACTCTTACCTTTGTCCTCATTTAAAGAGATGTTTGGGCTTGTGGCAACTTCTCTCATAACTAGATCTCAGAAACTGTTGAGAATTGTATTTTCTTATTTTTATTCAAACACAGTTTTATAACAAAGCAATAAAGCTATTTTTACTTGTATAGAGAAAAGTGGATGAATGGACAAAACCATTTCTATAGATAATCTGTTCAATTATTTGTTAGCACGTGAAATAGTTAAGATCCATATGGATGAAAAATGCTCTTCCTGCAAATGCGTTCTATAGTGTATCAGTGTCTTTTCTTCCTTATTTATAAACTCAGAATCTTAATCTGATAAATCCAGCTGGACGAACAATAGAATGAGAACAATGCTCCTCTTGTCTTTTGTTTCTGGGATTTCATAATATCTTGAAATCATAGGATTTTTGTGCTATAAGGAGCCTTGGATATCATCTAGCTGAACATGCAAACTTTTAGGTGAGGAAACCAAGGCCCAGAGAAGTGAAATGACTTGTACAATTTGAAGGTAGAAATACTTTGTTTTAATTAAAAGCAGAAAATGGGACTCACTGTCTTCAGAGCAAAGCTGCACAGTAACCTTAGGCTTTATAATCATATTTTGCCGTGTTATTCGCTGACAGCATAGAAGGCAAGGAAGCTTTGGCCATTTGACATGTTGGTGGAAATCGATATATTTTCATGCTTCCTCTGCTTTTGCTTTTTTTCTAAATAAAACTTCACAAAGCAGCTAAGAATTCAGAAATGCCCCTCAGATATATCTAAAAAGTCAAATCAGGCAAAAAACATATGGTAGGAAACTTTTTTCGTGGTAATTACAAATTTAAAGAGGGATGCATACATCTTTAATCAAATTTAATTTAATAAAAAAGGGGCATACCAAGACTAGGGTAATCTACATGTTGCAGGCATAAAATTTCCAAACCCTGAACTAGCTAACTGAGTAGTTAGTTCATTTGCAGTGGAGATATTTGTGGAACCAGGGAGGTATTTGTAGAACCAGGGATTAGTGGGTAGGGTATCCAACTGGTCTTCAAGAATATCAGTATACAAAAAGCATCTCGTCCCAGCGTGGTGGCTCACTCCTGTAATCCCAGCACTTTAGGAAGCCGAGGCAGGTGGATCACCTGAGGTCAGGAGTTTGAGACCAGCGTGACCAGCATGGAGAAAACCTGTCTCTACTGAAAATACAAAAGTTGCCAGGTGTGGTGGTGCATGCCTGTAATCCCAGCTACTTGGGAGGCTGAGGCAGGAGAATTGCTTGAAGCTGAGAGGTGGAGGTTGTGGTGAGCTGAGATCATGCCACTGCACTCCAGCCTGGCGACAGAGCACAACTCTATCTCAAAAAAAAAAAAAAAATAAAAAAAAAAAAAAAAAAAAAAAGCATCTCAGTTCTTTATTGTTATGAATCAAATTAAATACGGATTGTTCCATTCGCCTGGATAGCAGTTTTTTTTTTTTTTTTTTTTTTAAAGGAGAACTTCCCTGCCTTATTCAGAATGGGAAAACACCCAGGGAATTTAGTGAACCAGAAAAATTGGACTAGGGTCTCTGTTCTCTGTCTTTGTTGACAGTTGCTGAGATGTTTGTTGTTTACGTGTATGTGTCCCTTTTGGAGGGGTTTCCCCTTTAACATTCACTGCTTCCATTGGGCACTGACCCAGAATCTTCAAGCTGTGCAGAGTTCTAGACATTCACACAGAAGCTCTGCTACTTCTTAGGTGCTGTGAAGGGTCAGCATGTCTTCCCCCAACCTACCACCACTGCTTATATCCAGCATCCCCAGCTTCCAGTCTCTGGATATCCAGCTCACTTCAGGGTCTAGTGGGGCGAAATCCTCCATGCCCTTTGGGACTGTATTGCTTAATTTGCTTCAATGGGTCTGAAACCAAAAATGGTTCCTTGTCTTCTGGGGGATTCAGAACACGAAAGGATGTCTGAGAGGAGAAAAAAATCTCTCTTTTTTTTTTTTTTGGACAGTGTGTTTTCAGCAAGAAGTATAGAACAATTTTTAATTTCTCAATAATGTGGCCTATTTCATAAGGCTACACTTTATTCTACCCATACATTTTTATGACGAGTGGCAGTACAGGAGGAGGTGAAAGGAAGATCCAAATTCACAGAAGCTGCTTCTTCAAAGTGTTGATAGTAACCAGGTCCCTGAGCTCCCGCTTGGTAAAAAAAAAAAAAGTAGGTTGACTTTAAGTGGAACAACTGTTAAAAGTACAAAGACTAGAGTACATGGGGAGAATAAAGAGCAGTGTTGTTTTTCCCAGAGGACAGGGCCTCTTCTTTGCAGCCAGAAATGTTTATTGCTGCTTAATGTTCTATTGCCAAACTTGATTTCTTATCTTCTCAGAAACCTTTAGCTTCCTATAAAATAGAATCCTACTTCCTCCTTAGGGATCCTTGAAAATTCTCTAGGTTAAATTATGCTAAGTGCTTTGTTCTAGTCAATAATAATACTAATTAGGGTTATGAAGGCATCATCTAGATAAGTGAGTGAATGCCTCCCGACCATTTTTTTTTTTTTAGTTGTTTTTGACGTATCTCGTAGACTAGGACCTGAGATAAATGTAAACTCCTAGAAAATATCCCAGTGAGCAAAGCTTGTCAGATCTGTAAGGCAGAAGAAAAATATTATTTCTGATATGCCCGCCCATTTCTCCACATGGTGGTACAACAGCTGGAAGTTGGAGTTGTGCTTCCTCTTCTAGCTCAGCCAGATGGGTTCCTACCTGCTTGTGGGAACTGACTGGGTGCATCTCTCCCCAGCAGCATGTCGGGGCCATCATGGTATCGTTTGAAAGCTGCATGGTGGAATTATTTACAAACGGGGACAAAGACTAAAAATAATAGCTGATTGATAAACCAGTACATCACTACTGAAAAATCACATTTGAACCAGCTTTTTGAATAATTTATTAAGACAACAATAATGTAAAGACCTAAAGGCTTTTGGTTTCAACTTTATATGAAAAGAATACCTAGAGAGAGAGAGTTTAGGTGATTCATAATGGGTAGGCTATTCATTCCCCATTTTAGTATATATTAACTATAATTTAAAAGTTCCAGCACCACTTTTGTTTAACAAAAATTAATTGCCTGGGTGCCAATGATAACATATCTTTAGAGCATGCCACAACTTTGCTCCCTTAAAAGAAAAATAGAAGAAAATGAGCAGAAATCTTTTGAGTTAATGTTTTAAGAAGTAGGTAGAGAGATAATAAAGAATGCCATCTGAATGCTACTGCAGGCGATATTTTTAGGAAGTTATTTGTACCTTAATACTCATTGCTTTCCCCACCCCCCCCCCACCCCAGCTTTGCCAGAGATAACTCCTGTGGAACCTAAATTACTTTGACAATTACCGCAGATTTAAAGGAGTGTTCTGGTAATCCTTCGGGAAGCAACTGGATTAAATGAAATAATAAGTAAGCCTCCAGGAAGCTTAGGTATCAAATATTAGTTTGAAAAGCAAAAAAAAAAAACTAAACAAACAAACAAAAAAAAACCCCCAAAAACATGAGGCTGAGGCGGGCAGATTATTTGAGGTCAGGTGTTTGAGACCAGCTTGGCCAAAATGGTGAAACCCCATCTCTGCAAAAATACAAAAATCAGGCATGATGGCAGATGCCTGTAATCCCAGCTACTCCTGAGGCTGGGGCAGAAGAATTGCTTGAACCCAGGAGGTGGAGGTTGCAGTGGGCGAAGATCATGCCACTGCACTCCAGCCTGGGCAACAGAGCGAGACTGTGTATCAAAAAAAAAAAAAAAAAAAAAATACAAATGATAGGAGACTTTCTTTAAGATAAGGAGCCCTGAATTATTGTTGATTCTTGATTCTGTTGTCTCTGCAGTTGCTAATGTTCACATTTCAAGGATTGTCAGCTGCACAGCTGTAGAATCACCAAACAATGCCTCCAAATCCCTCAAGAAGTTAGCCGTATAGCCTTCTAACTTTAGGAGCATCTCATGTTGACTTCTTTGAATATCTCAGGATCCATCATGAACCATAGATGAACTAGGGCCCCGATCTTCAACATCAGAGAGGGAGATGTTTTCCTGCATTTGGTTCTCATACCCCTCTACAGATGTGGCTGAATCCCCTCTTCTGTCCCTCTGGGGAAGAGATGGCCTGGTATGGAGTCTGGCTAGAGTACTGAAAATTTATCATAATGTTTATACTCCATCATCTTCTATTCTTGTGACTTCTAGCCTTACAAGTATTATACAGAAGTTATTCCTCAATTTCTTAGATCTTATTTGGAGGGAAATTTTGGATGTTTGAGGGCAAGAGAGGCACATGAATGACTGGGTTTGGACCTCTGCATGTCATATCTTAAAGTTCATGGAATTAGGCATACATTGCTATAGTCAGTGTAACCCTCAAATCTGATCTTACTAACCCTACGGAGTATTTAAAAAATGCTTCAGATTTCCAAAACACTATAAAACAAATGCTCTGAATTTCAAACGTGACCATTTGTAAGTGAAGATATTCAAGTTTGATTATGATATGTCCATGCCTTGAAGTTTATGAGGAGAGTTATTCAATGGACATTTATTGGGGCTAAACATATATATATATGTTTCATCTATATGTTTCATATATATATATATATATATATATGAAACAAATAATTTAAAACAATAAATAAATAATTTAAAACAAT